ATCAGGAAACCATTGGTTGGGCCCAGTCAGACAGGAGGCGCTGAACGAAGTCACTGGCATCGCCTGTCCCCCATGTGGCGCTAACGTAGCGCGATTCCTCAAGGTCTGGAGGGGCCTGGGAAGGTCTGGTCCCCTGGCTCCTCGGGAGGTAGGGGCCCCAGGGAGCGGCGGCACGCCCGCTGGGGCTCATTTTGAGTTCTCTGTTGGTCGTGGGGCAGTGAGCAGGGAGGCGAGCAGGGGTTGAAGCAGGAACAGACTGTGTTAAGCGTGACTGGGGCAGCAGGAGGCAGCCCCCACGTTTATGCCTGTCTCCAGCAGCAGCGTCCCCTCCTGCTCCAGTGGGGTGAGTCCAGGGTCTCCCCTTTCAGGCCAGGTGCTCGGTGCCCTCTGCTGCTGGCCACGCCGTCTGTGCAGGTAGCTAGTGACCCGGGACAGTCAAGATGGGAAAGCCCTCCAGCCTCCATTTCCCCTTAAGCTTCTCTTGAGTCCACCTGATGCCAGTTCCACATCCCCCGACCAGTAACCTCGGGCAGACTGACCAGTGGGCTGGGTTGTGCCCCCCAGCTGGTCCCAAAGCCAGCACTGTTGGCCTGGGTAGGGGACACTCCTGGGCCCTGCAGGCTGCTTGCTCACCCAGCACCTTCTCTTCAGGGATCAGACTTACTGTCTGCTTCAGCTTTTCTACAAAAAGCCAGGCCTGAGCAAGGAGTGGGCAGGGGAGGGCCGGGCAGCTGCCCCCAGCACCCCTCAAGAAAAGATGAGTTTACTTCGCTTCCCAGCCAGCGCTGGGCGCCGGGCTTGGTGTCAGAACCCGCAGGGCTGGGTGGCGGGGGCGTCAGCATGCCCTGACTTGGCGACAGGCGCCAGGGAGACCGGAAGGGAGCCCAGGGACCCGAGAAGGCTTGGCCGACAGCGTGGGTGGGGGAACATGGCTTCGCCAGTCCTGTTTTTGGAGGATGCAGGGGAGTGGGGTCATGGGAAGAAGTCTTCCGTCTTCTCCCAGAGCCTCATGGCTGACTTCAGATTCCCCAGAGCGCGGCGCGGCAGGCAGCAGGATGCCTCCCCAGGAAGAGTGCCCGTGCTCGGGCCCCTGCTCCTCCATGCGGGCCTGGCCCCCAGCTGTCCCCACCGTCCACGACCCCTCCTCTGTGCCAGCCCATGCTTGCCCCCCGGCCCCCGCTATCTCGAAAGAACTGGGTCCCCTACCTCTCTCAGCACCCCACTACCAAGACTGCCTCCCCCAGGTACCCTGCCCCGTGCACCCCCGCCCGCAGGATGAGCCCCAGGAGAGCAGGGCCTCCACTCCTGTGCTCTGCACACGGCCCGGCAGGGAGGGCAGGGGTCTTGGCCCCCACAGCAGGACTTGGCCTGGCCCAGCGTGGCCCCAGTCCCCGGAAAAGAAGCGGCGTTCGGGGCCTTCCCACATCAGGACAGAGGGAGGACCCACGGCCTCGGGGCATGGCCCGCCCTCTCCAGCCCCCTGCCGGGCCGGCTGAGGTCTTCCTCCTGCCCACTCTGGCCCATGGTCACCTGCAGCAGGGGCTGTGGGTGGGCGCCAGGCTGGGCCCAGGACAGCACCACGGCTGAGGCCGTTCAGGGCAGAGTCTGGTGGGTGCTTGGCCGGTGTTTGTGGTTGGGGGACAGTGAGGAGGCTCACACCAGCCCAGCAAGCGTGCTGCGGCCCCTGCGGGCGGGCTCTGGTCCTGAGCCTTCCCAGCCCAGCGCCCGGCTTGGCCTTTTGAGGCCGCCCCTCTCTGTCTGTGCGTTAAGGAAAGTGGCGGTCCCTCTCATGAACCGGGGGTTTCAGAGCCGACGGAAGGTAGGCCTCTCCCCTGAGAGCTCCTGTGAGTGACACAGGGTCCCCTGTGGGAACTCGGACCTGGAAGCATGGGACAGTGGTCCATGCCGCAGCGGGTGGCTGGAGGAGAGGGGGCAGAGTGTCCTCGGGATCCAGGGGTGCACTGCGGGCCGCCCCAGGGCAGGTGCGGGTGGACCCCTACTCTTCTCGGGCCTAAGGGGGCCCCCAGGTTGTGGCCTCCCAGACCCCACCCAGGTTCCCTTGCACCCCACCTCTCTGCCTTGTCCCCAAGTATTTTCCAAGCTATTGTCTTATCATGAATAACACGTTAATGTGGGTATTAAAAAATATGGGCAAATGTTTAATGCTAGCAAGCTGTGTTCCATTATTGATGCTCTGCTTGAGGGCCCAGCAGGCAGCCCAAGCGGGCGGGGGCTCCGTGGAGAAGTGATGATGCAGCAGCCCCGTGAGGCCGCCATCTGCCGGGCCCGCTGCGGGGACGGCCGAGCCCGCTCACCACGGGCTCCTAGGAGGCAGAGCGGGGAAGGGAGCCAGGCCCCTGGGTCTGAAGCCACCCCTCTTCTCCTGCGGTGGTGTGGCTGGGCGCAGATACCATGCGGGGAGCCTGGGGCCGGGCTGGGGAGGCTGGCCCGCCTGTGCGGGTCACGCCACAAACTCAGGGTTGAGTGGAAAGTGGCCCCTTATTTTTGGCCGTGCTGGGTCTTCATTGCTGCGTGCAGGCCTTCTCTAGTTGCAGAGAACGGGGCTACTCTCTAGTTCCAATGCACAGGCTTTTCATAGCGGTGGCTGCTCTTATTATGGAGCAGACTCTTGGTGCACGGACTTCAGAAGTTGCCGCCCAGGGGCTCGTTACTTGTGTCTTGAGGGCGCTAGAGTGTCCTGGCTTCGGTAGTTGTGGCGCTTGGGGTTAGCTGCTTTGCTGCATGTGGAATCTTCCCAGACTAGGGATTGAGCCTATGACCCCTGCATTGGCAGGCAGATTCTTATTCACTGCAGCACCAGGGAAATCCGTAATTAGCACTTTTTAAGAAGCACCCCCATTGGGGCACGGAGGGTGAAAAAAGAAGCAGGGAGTCTGATTAGAAGGTGGCTTGGAATTGAGCAGGCGAGAGGGGCCGACTGGTGGCCCCAGGCAGGATGGCTGAGACGGGCCAGGAGGCAGGCGTGCGCTGAAGGCAGAGCCCTGGTGAGAGAGGCCCCGAGGGTCACGGAGGACTCTGTGCTTTGGGCTGCAGCAGCTGTGTGGGCACTGATGTCCCCTGAAGGCTGGGGGCCTGAGTCGAGGGGGAGACCAGGAGGTGTGCTGTGGCTGTGCCAAGCCTAAAGGGCCTTCTGGTCAAGCGGGCAGGGCAGCCACCAGGTGAGCGGTGCCCATCCAGAGGCCACCAGGGCTCGAGAGGTGCGTGTGGGAGCCGCTCATCCAGAGACAGCTTTGAAGACATCCACGGGCGCAGACACGGCCCCCGAGGGTGCCAGCCAGAGAGGAGCTGAAGGCGACTGAAAGCCCCAAGGAGGAGGGCGTGGTGATCGGACGTACTGAGCGCTCTGCTGTCCTGACCTTCTGAGGCCCCCTTGCAGCCGCGGCTTCTTAGGGATGCCGGGAGGCCGGGGCGCCCGCCTCCGCGCCTCGCCACCCCCTTCCCGGTCCCTCTGCACCCGCCCTGACTGACCTCCGGCTGCCTCAGGCCCCCCCCGGGCCTGGGTCCCCGGGGAGCGCTGCCTGGCAGCGGCCTCAGCTGTCGGCCCCTGTCATGGAGACGGCGGCAGCTGCGGGCGACGGTCATTTGTGACCATTTGTCAGAAAGCGCTCCTTCCTCCCGTCCTGCCCTCCTGCCCCATTTCTCTCCCACGGCCCTGGAGAGGGGGCCCATCTCGGGCTGGGAAAGCCACGAGGGGACGGAAGCGCTGTCCGTGCTCTGCCAAAGGGCCACCTGTGGTACCAACGCAGGACCAAACCAGGGGTCCTGTCCCACATGCCACGCTCCACACAGGCGATCAGGAGTCTGGGCGGTGCCCTCTGAGCCGCTCCCACGATTGGAAGGTGGAGAAGTTGTCCCACAGACACTGGGTCACAAGCTGGTCAGGAGCACTAGGCTCAGGCGCCATGGCCTATCCTCCACCCGCCCCACCCCCCACCCCCCAACAGCTTTGTTTCCATTTCTTTGGTGGTTTCTGGCCCGGGCCTGCTGGTTCCAGCTGGGCCTAGGCTGGAGACGGCCTGCCTGCTCTTTGCACTTCGTGGTTTGGCCTCTCCGTTACCAAATGCTCTGGGATTTTTCTGGAGCCAGGGGTGGAAAAGAATCTCCTCCTGTCTGGCCCCAGGGCGTGGCTGGTATTCGGAAGGAAGCAGGAAGCCAGACCCTGATAATGCTGAGTTTAGTGTATGTTCAGTGACCGGAGACAGAGATGTCAGAGGCTCATTGGCTCCAAGTGGGGCTCATTTTGTTCAGCACCTTTGAGGCCTCAAACCCCTGTCCCCACAGGCCTGAGGCCTGAGACCAGGAGTCAGGCAAACAGACACTGACCCCGGATGAGAGACAGGAAAGGGGGTGCCATGCTGGCACCAGCCCCCAACAGGCAGAGCTCAGGAGCCACACCCCACCCTTCTTACCAGCCTTTGCCGACTCCTGGGTTTGCTTTTCTTGCTTCCAGAGGCCTTGAGATTCCTAGACTCCCGACAGGAAGGCCTGCTTGTCCCCGCACGACCAGGCCTCTGTGGGCAACTGGCAAACCAGGGAGGTCTATAGGCTTCCCTGAGCCCTGTCCTTGAGACCTGGTGTCACTGTTGACATCACCTTGGACCAGGGACCCAGGGAAAACTGCTTTCTTCCTCTGTTCTCTGGGTTCCCAGTTTTCCCTTTTATAAAATGGAGACTCCTTCCCAAAAAGCCTGAGCCTTATTCCTCCAGCTGTCTTTCTTGGGATTTCACATTCTGGCCTGGGGTGGATGGATAAATACGGCCTGTAGGGCTCTGGAGTGCCCGGGAGCCGTGGACCCAGCTCCACTGTGAGTGGCCCCCTTGGGCCCCCCAGAGGCCCAGGAGAGAGCAGGCTCCCTTGGGAGCTGGAAGATGAGCGAGAGGGCGCCGGGCCTGTGGCCCAGAGCCACCTCCCCTGCAGGCGGCTCTGCCTTCTGCTTCACAGGGAAACCATGTTCCCCTCTGCCCCGCCCACCCCCCAGGCAGCTCTGCCTCCTGCTGCACGCGGAGAGCATCTTCCACTCAATGGCGGACATCCTGCTCCGGGAGGAGGACCTCACGTTTGCCTCGACCATGGTCCACACCCTCAACACCATCCTGCTGACCTCCACTGAGCTCTTCCAGCTGCGAAACCAGCTCAAGGACCTGAAGACCCCGGTACTCCTCACCTGCGCGCTCCAGCCAGCGTCATTCGTGTGTGCACGGGCGCGGCCATGCCAGCCCGCCCCTCGGTCCCCAGAGGTTGGCGGGAAGGAGACAAGGATGCGACCCGAGGCCTCCCAGTCCAGTGTCAAATACGGGTCCTCTTGGGTGGGCTGCATGTGAGTGCTAGCCACGGGTGTGAGTGTCCTTGGAGCTGCCCACCGTGAAGGGCTCTGCCAACAGAAGAGGGGGACGCTGCTCCAGGGTCCGTGCCCTCCCTGACACCCCACCCCACCTAGCACTGCCCCTGTGCACCCAGAGCGGCTCGGGTTCTGAGCCCACCTTGCAGGCCCGGTAGAGTCATGCTTGCTGGGCTGTGCCACCCGGTCAGGGTCGGGCCTGTGGATACAACCCCACTGGGGTTCGGGCGTCACCGCTCTCCTCACCCTTCTTCTTGGCCTGGGCCCTCCTCTCCTGCAGAGGGACACATCTGTGTCAGCCAGGGTGTCATGGTGCTGTCTGGCCCAGGAGTTTTAAGTGAGGACCCACCAGGGCCGGTCAGAGAGAGCAGGGAGGTGCTCACCATTCTGCCAAACCACTCTGGGGGACGTGGGTCAAAGGCCTTGCTTGGACTGAGCTGCGGAGGGTCCCTGGGTTGGCTTTCATCCAGGACAGGCTGGCGGCTCCGCAGCTTGTATCAGGGCTGTGCTGACCACCCTCCCAACTCAGACCCTGCGCTGGCCCGTTTCTGGGGTCTCCAGGACATCCAGGCCTGTGCCTGGGGGCATTGGGGCCTGGCCTCTGGGAATGAGCCAGGCCACACCCCTGCCTCCCTCCTGCAGAGGAAGGAAGAGGTGGCTTTGAGGGTGACAGGAAGGCGCTGCCTGGGAGAGGAGGCCGGGCCCTGAGCAGCCTTCCTCCCCGCCGGCACCCAGGCCCTCGCGGCCCCCCAGCTCCTGCCGTGGAGGGCTGGGAGGGTGACTGCTGTTATCTGCTGAGGCAGGAGCCCAGCGCACAGGCCAGGCTCGCTGCCGGCAGGCCCTCGCAGCCACAGCACGTGGCTCTGTGGGCCCAGGAGTGATGACAGGGTCTGAGGAGGAGCGTTTCCTTTGCGAGGGCTCATTCCGGCTGGGCTGCCAAATACAGCCCTGGGTGCTGGGCTGGCCCCCAGTGCCCTGCAAGGGGCCCGCGGCGAGGGGCGGGGTCACGGATGGGGGCTGTGGGAGCACCGAGGGAGTGGGGGGGCACGGATCAGGGGGCAGGGCCGGGGGGTGGGGCACAGATGGGGGGCAGGGTCCCGGGCGCGGTGTCTCGGATGGCGGGGGTCCGGGCGGGGGGGGGGGCCCCGGGCGGGGGTCTGGGGGCGGGGCGGGGTCCCGGGCCGGTGTCTTGGATGGGGGGTAGGGGCCCGGGCGGGTTGTCTCGGATGGGGGGGCGGGGGAGGGGGGTGGCGGGCACGGATCGGGGGCGGGGGTCAGGGGGCGGGGTGGGGGTCCGGGCTGGGCGTCTCCGAGGGCGGGGGAGGGTGGGGGCGGGGCCCGGGCGGGGGTCTGCTGACCGCACACACCGCCCCCCATCCTGTAGGAGAGCCGGAACCTGTTCTGCTGCCTGTATCGCTCCTGGTGCCACAACCCCGTCACCACCGTGTCGCTCTGCTTCCTCACCCAGAACTACCGGCACGCCTACGACCTCATCCAGAAGTTGTATCCTTCGCTCACCATCCTGCCGCCCGGCCTCAGGGGAGGGTGGGGGCCGGTCCCAGCAGACTCCCCCCAGGCTCCCCTCCGGCCTGTGGCTTCAGGGCCCGTGAGGCACAGTGAGGGACGCAGCTGAGGAACCTGGGTCATGTCGCAAGCCAGAGGTCGGGAAGGCTGCGTGCTTAGGTGAGGGAGCCCCGGGAGAGAGGCAGGGTGTCCTCAGCCCAGTGCTGGCGCGGGGACGGGGCGGTCGGACGGCAGGAGTTGAGCTCAGGGCCCTTCGGGGGCCGCCGAGCCCCGCAGAGGACGTGACCGGGAGAAGCGGAGCAGCCTCAGGGCCTGGGGTCTGCCGATCTCAGAGGAAGGTCAGGTTTTGTTTGGAACACTGTGAAGCAGCCCAGCTTTCTCTGACTGCGTGGTGTGTGACCTGGATCAGACAGCTAGTAGGAGACAGAATTGGCCGCCTCCTCTGAGGAGTGGAGAACTGGGGTAAGGAAAGAGGGTCTGCCGCGGCCTTGCCCCATGCCCGCACGCCGTCACACCTCCGTCTGCCCCTCGGCCCTGCTCGCTGCCACTCAGGCGGGAACAGGTCTGGCGGGCGCAGAGGAGAGGAGCAGGAGGGAGCGCGGGGACCGTCCTGCCAGCTCTGTCTGGAGGGGCGGAAAGACAGAGGGAACAGGCCACTGTGCTTTGTGTCCCGAAGCCGCTCATGCGGAAACGGCCTGAGCCCAGGAGCCAGGGTCTGGGGCGGGGGCTGCATGCTCCATGCGCCAGGTCAGCCCTGGGCCCGCACCCCCAGCCCAGCCCCTCAGACAGGCGGGCTGCCCTGGCCAGCAGTGAGGCTTCTTTGACCACCCGTGCAGTGGGGACCTGGAGGTCACCGTGGATTTCCTGACGGAGGTGGACAAGCTGGTGCAGCTGATCGAGTGCCCCATCTTCACATGTGAGCGCGCGCCGTCCTGCAGGGAGCCCGCGGAGCCAGGCTCAGAGAGCGGCTCTCTGCCCCTGGGGAGGGACGGGGGGGGGGGCGGGCAGGCGCCCAGGGGCGCTTCTGGAACTTCAGGAATGTGAGAATGGAAGGATGGGGCTCAGGAGGCCAGCTGGAACAGGGCATCAGAACCTGCCTGTGCACTGGCAAAACCCACCTGGGGCCGGCGAGGCAGCTGTCGAGGGTGCTCTCCCCAGCGCCCAGGAGCCAACCCCTTGTCCCTGCAGAGCAGAGCCGGCATCCGCCGGCAGCTGACAGGCAGGCGCTGAGTGTAACACCCGGGCCGAGTATGCAGGAGGGGCAGCTAGCCCGGACGAGCGTGGCTCTTGGGGCCTTACCTCATCCAGTACCTGCTCCCCAAAGCAGGGGGCTCGGAATGCAGCCCGCGTGCTTACAGTGTGGAAGCAAAGCCGGGCGGCAGCCCTGCTGACAGCCAGCTTCCTTCCGAGCCCAGCACCCAGGCCCTCTGCTTGGGCAGCACCCCTGACCTACTCAGGCCAAGCCCTGGAGCCCAAAGGCGACCCAGGGGCCGCAGGCTGTCCCCCCTCCCCCCATCCAAACAGAAGGCAGCTTCTCTACACAGCCGCCGTCTCGGTGACAGACACATGAGCAGGAGGGAGACCCTGTTCCAGCGGAGAGCATCAGAGCGTACCCCAGACGGCCCCTAGACTGACATTTCACTTTCTCAGAGGCCTCCCGGAGCAGTCTGGCCTGTGCTCCCCTGATGGCAGGTCCAGCTTAACCCTAGAGAAGCCGCGAACACCTCTCCAGGCCCAGGGCTTTCGTGCAGGGACCGCAGCAGAGTGGTCCACAGCTGGCCCTGCCTAGGCCCGTTCCCACCCTCAGCAGCCTTGAGCCCCGTGGTGACTGCTCTGCCCAGGGCCAGAGCAGGGACGGGGTTTGGAGCCGGCGCTGCTGGGCCTGGGGTGCTGCTGCACGAGACCCCCACGTCCTGCCGCAGCCTGGCCCCAAGGCCCGTGCGGAGCTGCCTGGCGGCGTGGTCTCCAGGGCTATGAGGCTTGTCCTCCACCAAGGATCCTCGAAACTGGGCCTCAGACACCAGAAATATGCGAGTGAGTCCCTGGAAGGGCTCAGGAGAGCCGCGTGGTCCCATCTAGTTGGGACCGTGCTGGGCAGGGCCCGGCTGCGCCCTCCCGTTTGGCATGGTGTGGGCAGGGCTGGTATCTGCTGCGGATGTCCAAAGGCGTCCCCCAGACACTGCTGGGCTCGCTGTGTTCAGACACACACCAAAGTGCTTCCCCAGCCTGTCCTTCCTCAAAGCCACCCCAGCCCAGCCTCTCTCTGGCTCACCTGTTTACAGCACTCTATGCCGCACGTGTGGAGTGGGCCCGGGGGTCCGTCGCGCTCCAGCCCAGGCCCCTCAGTGCCAGGGAGCAGTGGGCGTGTGGGGGGTCGTCAGACTGAGGCAACTGTCGGGAAGGTTGGATAGCAGGCAGGGAAAGGCTGATCTCATGTGATCACAGGGATGGCTCAGACACCGCTGGAGCGGGGGCAGGCGTGCGAGGAGCCCAGCCACTGGGCTGGCCCCCCTGGCCAGGCTGCGGTGCTGTCAGAGCCGTCCTGACCCCCGCCTCCGCCCTCCCTGACCCCTGCCCTCCGCCCTCCCGCAGACCTGCGCCTGCAGTTGCTGGACGTGAAGAGCAACCCGTACCTGATCAAGGCCCTGTATGGCCTGCTCATGCTGCTGCCACAGAGCAGCGCCTTCCAGCTGCTGTCGCACCGGCTGCAGTGCGTCCCCAACCCTGAGCTGCTGCAGACCGAGTGAGTGCCGGGCTCGGGGATGGGGCCTGGCGCGTCGGGGCACGAAAGGGGTGACCTGGGCCCTCCCTGACCTCCGCCTCACACCTCCTGTCACTGCGGGCACTGTTCGCCTCACTGCCACTTGCTGTAGGCCTCCCGTTTCCACATCAGAGCCCCTGACTGGGAGACCTGGTCCTGTTTAGAAGGTTGTAGGTAGTTGGGTTGAGTTTGTCAAAAAATTTGAGCGCGTGCTGGAGTGACCCAAACAAAAAGTGCAGAGGGAGGAATTCGTGCCCCGTTTCGGAGACTGTCGCCTGGAGCACATGGTGAAAGAGCTGCAGGGGGTCCCTCCCAGGTTCAGACAGCCCCCACCATGTGCAGCAGAGAGACAGCCCTGGGCCACGGCCTGCCTCGGGACACCTCGGACCCTTCCTGCCCCCGAGTGGGGTGAGAAGCAAGGGTGCACACAGGTCCACCCTGCTCTCGACCTGTCCACAGGCAGAACAGGTCCCAGGCTGGCTACCCGGAGAGGCCCCCACGCCAGCCTCCGGGGGCGTCCAGACTCCCACCCTGAGCCCACGGCTGGCCCAGCCCCCGGGCCTGTTGGGTCATGTCTATATTTGGTAACCCTTGGAGGCTTTGCCTCATCCACAGGCATTTGGCATCCGAGATGGAAAATTTCACTTGTCAGGTCGCCATGGAAACAAGCAGAGCCACTGAGAAGATTTACGCTGAATGGAGTGCACCCAGCTTGCACCAGATGCCCTGTGCATCTAGAATTCCCTCCCAGGCTGCGCGAGCCCCTCGGCAGGCCAGGCGCCTCGCTCCCACAAAAGGCCTCAGGCCCTTGCCCTTGCGGTGGGCGCAGGCAGCCTTGAGATGCCCCTGTGCCCTCTGTCCTGCAGGGCCTGGGGCACCACCCCCCCAACCTGACCGGGGCTGGACGTGCAGTCCCCAGTGGGCTGTCTGCCTGCCCCAGGCCTCTTGGGGGGCCAGAGCCCCCAGGCCAAAGCCCAGCTCCTGCACACCGTGCCCCCCTCCCCGGACAGCGGCAGGGAGGGCTAGACACCGTCCCAGCTGCTCCTGACACTGCTGGGTGACCCTCAGGAGGCGGCACTCAGCGCTCGGGGTGCCCGGGGGGCGGGGCAGCCACGGGGCTCAGTGTGGGTTTTACTCCCTCAGCGGGAGCACCTCTGGCTGCTGGGGCTCAAGGGCCCTGGGCCTCTACGGTGCTTCATTGGCCTGGCCTCTGCTGGCCTCGCCAGTGCCTGAGGGGTGTCGGGGCGTCAGGGTCGCCCTGGCAGCTCCAGGCCCCTGCACCCCGCCGTGGGCTGAGGGCTCGGCGACCCTGGCCACCAGTTAGGCTTCTGGGCCATTGTCTCCTTTGTGAGGCAAGAGGGAGCCTCCGAAGGAGAAGCTGGTGACATTCACCAGCCAGGAACCGGTGACAGGTGCATGGTGGCAAGGGCGAGGGCTGGCCTTGGGTTCTGGAATCCCAGCCCTGTGCTGCTGGCCAGGTGTCCCTCGGCCACTCGCAGCCTGAGGGTCACAAACGTACAGGGAACAGGAAGGGCTGAGCAGCGGCCACACCCTGGACTGGCAGCGGGTGACAGTGGGGCGAGCCTCCTTCCCAGCCTCCATGTCAGAGGAGCCCCTGCACCCCCGGACACAGCCCTTCCTGCTCCCAAGACCCCGGGCGAGGAAGGGCCTGGCCACAGGGGGCTGAGTCACGGGAGGGGCAGGACTTGCTGCCTCCGGGCGCAGGAGCAAGGGGAGGCCCAACCCCCCACCCCCGCCCACCCGCCACATCTGTGCACAGCACCCGGGATTTGCCGCTGTCGCTGGCATCTCCCTGGCAACCCCTAATCTCAGCCCCTCTGCGTCTAATGCGAAGAGTGCTGGGGGGAGGAGCACACGGCCAGTGGGTGCCGGCCTCAGACGACACACTTCAGCAGCATCTCTGGCCTGCCCGTCTCCCCCTCTTCCGTCTACATGGGTGGGTGGCATCTGGTCACCCCCTGGGGTCAGGGCTCCAGGGTGTGCCTCAGCCTCCTCGGAAGGGGGAGCTGCTCCCTTGTGGCAGCGACACCCGGGCCCTGGGAATACTATGCCAGGGATGTCCCTTCTGCTTTCCCAGGGGAGCGGAAAACCGCAGCCAGAGCCCGGAATGCTGCCCGCAGTCTGGCCCCCGAGAGCAAACCCAGCTCAGTTCCTTGTGAGCTTTGCTGAACCGGTGTTGCCCGAGGCCCAACTCTGGGCGGAACTAATAGTTCACCCCAGCAGAGAGCCCCTCAAAGACTCTTCTCCCTCATTTTGGCCTCGCTGGAGGCAGATCCATGTGGTCTGGGAAGGATCTGCTTCTGCACTCTGAAGCCTGGAGACCCTGGTGAAGGGCTCTCATGATGACTGTGGGCTGATCAGCTAAGCAGAGTGTCTTTGGGCCAGTGGGCCCAGGAAAGAAGCAGCCACAGCCACACTCCAAGGTGTTTTCAGGCCGTGTGTCTTTGTCAGGGAGGGAACAGGCTGAGTAGGGGCCCGGGCTGCTCCGGATGGCATCCCAACCACGGGAAGAGTTCCCGCTGCCCCTGGTCCTGGTGTTTTCTCAGAGGCGCCTTCCAGGCTCTGACCGTCGGTGGGCTGCGCCCCACCAGGAGCCAGGTTCATGGGTGAGGGTTCCATTTGAATGAAGCACTGCTGTGACTCCCCCAAGCGGACTCAAAGGGACATGGCCCCCGTTGGGCACCTAGGCTGGGACTGAACACAGAGCTTCCTCCCGTCACGTCTGGTGCTGCAGCTGCGCAGTGCAGCGCCCGTGCTCCAGGGCAGCGCAGCTGAGAGGGCACTCACAACAGGAGTTCCCAGAGGCGCCAGCTGCCCTGTGGCGAGACCAGCTCTCCTTCCCCAGGCACAGAGAGCGACTGCGTGCCTCTGGGCCCCAGAGCTCAAAAACAGATGTCCTGCCCAGGGGAGGGCCAGTAGACCTCGGCCATCCCTGTGGTCCCCGGCCTCAGCCCTGCCCCTCCCCCGTCTCCCTGGACCCTGTTCCAGGCCCCAGCTGGCTTCCTGGCTGGCTGCTGGCCCTGGCTTTCACCCCAAAGGGAGCCACTCATAAACAGGAAATGCTTCCCAATGTGATGCCTGCTCTGGGCGCCGTTGCCAGCCCACAGGCTGAGGGCCTTATCCGAGCGGCAGTGTTGACTGGTCCCGCCAACTGTGGGGGAGGGGGTGCTCCAGAGCGCTCCCCTCTTTGGGGCCAACAGTTGGGGGTTTGTTGGGCCTGAGGGACACGTGTCCCGAGGTTGGGCTCTACCAGCCTGTGGCCGGTGCTTCCCCCTCCAGCAGCCCCCACTTGCACTCAAGCCTTGACGCTGAGCCCCTCTGCCCCCTTGCACAGAGACGGTGTGAAGGCAGCACCCAGGTCGCAGAAAGCAGATTCCCCGGGCATTGACTACGCGGAGCTGCTGCAGCACTTCGAGCGGGTCCAGAAGCAGCACCTGGACGTGAGACACCAGCGGAGCGGGCGCGGGGACCACCCGGACCGGAGGGCGCTCCTCTGACGCCCTGGCGCGGAGACCGGCCCTCAGAGTGGGCTGTGAGCACTGGGGCTCTGCAGGCCTCCTCCCCGCGGCGCCCAGGGCTCTGCCTCAGGGGCAGGGTAGTGGGCTGGAGGCGCTGACTACCGTGCTGCTCTCACAGCCCAGCCCAGGGCTCCCAGCACAGCCAGCTGCACTTGGGATCAGACAGAGCTGGCTTCCCACCAGGGTGGGGCCGCAACCTCAGACATCCCCGTTTTCTGGAATCAGGTTCTTTCTAATGCTCTCTTATAAAGAGCTTGACACCCCCCCAAGCCCATCAGAGCTCTGACCTCGTGCAGATGTGTGTACATACATGTATATGCGTCTGTGTGCACATAGGGACCAGCACAGAGATTCATATGAAGGACGCACCCCTGCCCCAATAAATAAGTGACAGAAAACTCTCCACCCACGCCTGGCCTGCTCCTTCCCACGGGTGCCCGCCCTGCTGATGCTCAGCTGCCCTGGGACCTTGCTGCCGATCCTAGAGACCTAGTCTCATGCCCCCAGGCTTTGGGAAGCCTCAGATGGGCCCACTGATCTCCCAGGCGGCTCCTGTGGGTCCCTGGAGTAGGAGAGAAAGGCCTTGGGTGGGCTTTTCCCCAGAGACCCAGCATAGGCCCCCGAGGGTGGGTTTCCCTCCCTGGAGTCTCCAGGACGGGAAGACAGGCAGAATTCATTATGGCCCACGTGCACACACATGCGCATCCTACGTGTGTACCCAGGCATCAGAGAGGGGAGGAGGGCTCGCCTCTGTTCTGCTGGTCCCACGGCCCCAAACCCTGAGGATTGGAGCCCACCATCCCCAGAGGCCCGGCCTAGGGCACCCCACGCAGGTGGCATCAGCACGGGCCCTACTTAGGAAAGGAGCCAGAGAACTTCTGGAGGAGGGTCCAAACTCCTGTCCGTGGGATAAAATGTCCCAAGGCGGGCGGCCTCCGAGACACCGTACGCCCCTGATAAGTGTGGTGTATCCATCCCACGGGATGCGCCCCAGGACCTCAACTTGCCCCCCTCTTCCGAAAGCGCGGGGAGACACACACCCCCGACCCTAGACCAAAGGCTGGAGGCTGGTGGTGAGCCCCTTCCCGGGGCGGCACCCAACCGCCGGCCTCACCCCCGCGGGGAAGCCAGGCAGCGCCGCCCCCGGATCGCGGCGGCGCCTGCGCCCGCCGGGCCTGCTCGGACTGCCAGTTTGGCCGCGCCCGGGCTCGGATTTCAAAGCCCGGGCTCCGGGCGGTGAATGGGCCGGCGCCCGCCCGGCCTCCCCGCAGACCCCTCCCCGCGGCCCGCCCCCCGCGCCCACGTGACACCCCGGCCTCGGCGCTCGGGTTACGGCCGCCGCGCCAGTCCCCGCGCCGAGGCTGCGCTGCCCGCCGCCCGCGCCGCGCCCCCTGCGCCGCCCGCCAGCCCCGCCGCGACATGGCCCGCGCCGCCCCGCGGCGGCCCGCGACCCCCGAGCGCGGCGCGGCCGGCCGCTGAGCGCGGCCCGGAGGCGCCAGGCTCGGCCCGGCCTCGGAGCGACAGCCGCCGCGGCGCGGGTCCCAGCGCCCTGCCTGCGCCGCCGCCGCCCGGCCCGAGCATGGAGACGGCGGAGAAGGAGTGCGGCGCCCTGGGCGGGCTCTTCCAGGCCATCGTCAACGACATGAAGGTAACGGGCGCGGATGCGGCGCGGGTGCGTGTCCCCTTTGGGGACGCGTGGCGGCGGGCAGCTGCGTCCCGCCGTGTCGGAGCGGCCCCGCATGTGTGTGCCCTTGTCTGAGCGCGTCTGGCCTGCGTCTGCCGTGTGCCCTGCTCTCCGGGAGCCCGTCGTGGGGGGTGTGGGCGCTCGTGTCTGGGTGTCCGTGCGATACCCGGGGTCCGTGCCCCTGGTCGCCCAGGTCGCAGCGCCCCCTTGGGGTCGCGACCTGAGCCTGCGCACACGCGGGCTTCCCGCGCCCCAGACCCCCAAACCATGAATGGGGGTTGTCTCCGGGGGCGACTCACGCCCCTTTAAAGGGTCCAGGGTCTCTCCGGCCTCCGCCCTCTACCACCCTCGTGCCCCACTTCCCCGCCCCCGACGGCCCCGGAGCCCAGACAATGCTGTCACCGCCAAAGCAGCGAAAAATAATAAAGCAGGGAACCGTTAACTCCTTCCCTGCCGGCCTCGCCTCTGCGCCCGCCGCCCGCGTCCCAGACAAGCTCCTGGGCTGCACGGTCCGCTCGATGAGCGCCCCAGGCCCCAAGGCCTCTGGCCCACCTTGGGGGGAGGAGGGAGAAGGTGGGGGCTGAGGGGGCAGCCCCAGGGGAGGGCTGCTGCTGCGCCAGGCTCTCAGCTCCAGCCCCTCTCCCGGATGGCCCAAGGTCGGGCTGCAGCGGGCCACCACCTCCTGGCCCACACTGGCTCCCCGGGGGGAAACCGAGGCTGGGGCTGGCTCAAGGTCACTAAGGACACTGTTGGACAGCCCGTGACCTCACCCGTCACTGTTGATCCGGGGGGCGAGGGGGTCCTCGCCCCCAAAGAGGCTGGGGCTTGGCGGAGTGGCCCAGCTGACTGGGCAGAGAGGAGGGCCAGCCGCAGTGACAGGCGGGGGCCCAGCAGGCCGCGCCTCTCCCCTTCTGCTCTAGGGCGGGGTGGCCGGGCAGGAGGGAACGGGGAACTCCTCAGAGCCCCCCGCCTGTCACCCTCCCCAGTACACAGCCTGGCATCCTACGGTGACATCGCAGGCCCCGGGAGGACACACCACAGTGCCCAGGCAGGCCTTCAGGGGGGCTGCCAGATCCCGGTGCCCCCCACCCCCAGGAGACCCGGGGCCACCCTCCCCCAGAACTGCAGGGTTGGCAGCGTGCATCGGTGCCACACACAGGGTGCTCCCCTGAGACCCTGTCCCCCCAGCTCCACCTCCAAGCCCTCTGCTGGCCCCGGCGCCTTCAGCAGCCCCTGCTGCCCTCTGAGCGTCACAGCCTTGGCACCAGGTTTCCATTGCAGACCACCCTCCCCGGCCACTCCCAGGGCTGGCAGAGGGGCACCTTCCCGCACCTTGTCCTGCTGGCATCCTCACCACACACGCTGCGGAGAGCAGCCCCTTTCGCGCAGAGAAGCGAGCAGGACCGTCTCCCCGCCTCCAGGCAATTTGCGAGGAACTTGGGGATGAGACCAAAGAAGATGGGCCCAAACTGTAACAAGCAGCTCAGGATTTTCTGACGTGGGGAGGCAAACTCGGAGAGGCCTCACCTGGCGGGATGCCGAGCCCCGCTAGTCCCCCGCCTGTGACACAGGCTGGTGTCTGGCCCAGGGACAGGGCAGGGCCGCGGGCCGCCTGGAGGCCGGTCTCTGGATTTGGGGGATAGCTTCCGCTGTATCGCTCAGCGGCTTGAGCCACAGAAGCAGCGGGGTTTCCACAGAGGGAGGTGGCCAGGGTGAGGAAACAGAACTTGCCTGCCAGGCCCCGCAAGAGCCCACCCAGGGCTGCAGGCCCAGAGCCTGGCATGGGGGGTGGCCAAAGAGGGGAGGGGGGCTGCACCTGGGGTCTGGGGAGCACAGCTCAGGCCGGAGGGGCCCCGGGAGCATTCCCTGCCTGCTCCACCTCATTTAAGCAGCCCAGATGCCCCTGAAGCTCAGAGAGGGGCAGGGACTTGCCTGGGATGACAGAGCTGGGTGCAGCTCCAGGGCTCAGCCTGCACCTTCCGGAAACGGGGTCACAACCTGCCTGCCCCCAAGAGTGGGCAGTGTCACGCAGGTCCCAGCCAGGTGGCAGAGGCAGAGACTGCATGTCCACTCTGTCCGCAGCGTCAGCCAAGTGCTGTCTGTGTGCCGGGCCCTGAGCTGGTGCTTCCCAGGCGGCCTTCACACCGGCCTGCTCCCACGCTCATCTCCCAGGGGAGCAAACAGGCGCAGAGAGGAGCCTCCCGCAGAGCCCCTCTCCCGGGGTGCAGTCTGGGCTGCTCACCTGTACAGCCCGGGGCCTGCCCACCAGAGCACCCCCTTGACGAGCGTGTGACTGCCCCCCCAGAGCCGCCCGCTCCTCTCCCAGTACTGGGGTCCCCTCCCCTCCCCACCCTGGGTACCCAGATACTCACCTTCCAGACCCCAAAGTAAAGGGGGTGTTCCTGCCATGCAGTGACCAGTCAGACCTGGGATCAGAGCCTGACCCCCACACTCAGTAGCCGTGAACAAGCCAGTTAATCTCTCTGAGCCTCAGTTTCCTCATCTGTAGAATGGGGGTGATGACAGCGGTATTCACCTCAAAGGGTTGCTGTAAGGACTCAGTGTAACCCCACAGTGAGAGGGCTCGGCCGGGCGCCTGGCCCACCACAATCTTGACCCCAGTCACAGATCACAGATGATCCCTGTCACCATCAAGACCACGAGCCCCAAGGCTTCCAGCCTGCCTGACAGATGGGCGCAGCCTGCATGAGGGGACGCTCCTGGGCGCCGGCCCCTCGAGCTCACCTCTGGGCTCATCATGACTTCCCAGTGGGCCCTTAGAGGCCAGGAGCTCCTGTCCACCTGCTGAGGAGGGGCTGGGCTGGCCCCCAACCCCCACCCTGTCCCCTCTGCGCCAGGAGGACCGAGATTGGGAGGGCCAGGGATGGAGTGAGCCTGGGGGCTGTGAGGGTGCGACTTCAGTGGGGTCCTGTCTCCCCCGCTTCTCCCAGCCCCTGGCTCTCAGATAGAGGCTGCCGAGGGGCTGAGACGCCGTCCCAGGACCGCTGCCTCTGCACCCCTGCCCCCACGGCCTTGTCTCCCCCCAGGGTCTCAGCTCAGCCTCGGGCTGGGGGCGCTGAGCAGGAGGTGCCAAGTCCTCAGGAGAGCCAGGGGAGACCCAGGCTCCTTCACCCTAGGCTGTGCCGCACCAACGGCCCACCCACAGCCTCCGCCTTCCCGCCCCAGCCTGTGAACCTCTCAAATATTTGCTTTCCCTGGGCACTGGCTGGGCTGGGCTGGGAGGGGAGGGTGTTTCTGAGGCTCCCAGAAGCTGCCCTGTCCTTCTCACTCCAGC